GCCAGTGAGTCTGGCTTCTGGCACCCATCAGTCAGCTGAGCGACATTCCCGCTGTGGGAGCGCATTGACCACCAGGGGGGCAGCTCCTGCATTGAGCGTCTGCCCCCTGGTGGTCAGTGTGTGTCATAGCGACTGGTCAAACTGTTGACTGGTTGGACAGTCAACCGGTTGCTTAGGGTTTTATATATATAGATTTTCATACATATTTACTCTTATCTACTGAACTTTACTAATCATGTTTTATTTAAATCTAGATATTTCAATTGTTTTACCATTTCAATGCCCATATTACAAAATATTAATGACACTGAGTGACACTTTTTTTGTTCTTTATTTTTTAAAACTTGTCTTTATTGTTGAAAGTATTACATATGTCCTCTCCCCCTCCTCCTCATAGACCCTCTCAACCCACTCCCATCCCCTCCCCAGGCCTTTACCACACTAATGTCTGTGACCATGGGTTATGCATATATGCATATAAATTCTTTGGTTAATCTCTTCCAGCCCCCACCCCTTTCTCTCTGAGGTTCACCGACTGACACTTTAAATGACACCCATGACATCAAAATGTGACTATTATTTAAAGATAGCACACTACCAATATTTTCCAGAAGCAGTGTTGGATTTGCACTGGCCCAAGCACATACTTTTACCAATTGTCTATACTAGCTTACTCCTGCTAGGGTAAGATTATAGTCACAGAACACAGATAATGGACCCACACAGGTTTCTATTTCAGCAGGATGTCATGGTGAACAATAGACAACTAGATTTAAATAGAGCTGGGTTCAAATCCTAGCTCTGCTACTTACTAGCAGTTAGGCAAGTTTTTAAAAACTTCTTTGTGCTTCAGTTCTCCCAACTATTAAGTGGAGGTGATCACAGGGTTGTTGTAAAGATTAAACTTTTTTTTCAAAGATTTAAAATTATTATGCAGATCCCTTTCAAATCCATGACTTAGAAAACCTCAAATGCAGTTAACATTGAGTTTTTCCTCATACTTAATTTTACATGAGGGCAGTGATTGCAAAACTAATTAAGCTTTTTATTTTTTTTTAAATTCTAGCCTCAAACAGCACTAATCTTCAACCAATCTAATGATGGTGCCTTCATTTATTTCCAAGTGTAACAGAGGCCATGTCAGAAAGAAGAATATAAAAACCTCCACTTATAGGCACATTTCTCATATTTGTTTTTCCATGATATAGGCAGGGAGGGACATAAAAAGGAAAGAAACTTTTAAATAAACCCAACAACTTCTAGCTCTAGTCCTACAGCCTTGATGGTCACTTATTTATATTAGATCCTTTCCTTCTTCAAAATGAATCATTAGCTACAAATTTGGCATATATTTTACTTTAGAGTTAGTGGATGTTTTATCCCAATTTACAGGGTTGTCTAATTCAAAAAGCCCAAACACTTCCATGCCCAATTTAGGCAAATGAATCACAGATCTTCATTAATAAAGTTTATGTCTTTCCTGCAGCCTACCTTGATCCTATCTGGGGTAGGTGAAGTGCCTCTCTTCTGTGATCCCATAATATTCTGTATATTAATTACTGTGTTCACAATTGTGATTTTCCAGTTATGTGTCTGCCTATCCTATTGTATACTGTACCACTTGTAGGCAGAGACCCTATCTTATCTAGCAGGGTGGCTGGCCTATAGCAGGCACTAAATAAAATATGTTGAATAAGTCAATTAATAGCTGAAAGAGTACTTACTGAAAATTATTGTTTTAATCTTCCTCTTCTATCTTTGAAGATAAACAATTGGGTCTTGCCCTGGCAAGTTTGGCTCAGTGGATAGAGTGTCAGCCTGCGGACTGAAGGGTCCCTGATTCGATTCCAATCAAGGGCACATGCCTGGGTTGCAGGCTCCATCCCCAGTAGGGGGCGTGCAGGAGGCAGCCAGTCAATGATTCTCATCATTGATGTTTCTATCTCTCTCTCCCTCTTCCTTCCTCTCTGAAATCATAAAAATATATTTAAAACAAACAAGCAAACAAAAAAACAATTGGGTCTCCAAATCAGAAGTTAGGAAAATAGAATAATAAATAATAAGTAAATGTTAGGACACTAAGATTGATAGATGCTAATTACACCTCATTCTTATAACTTAAAAAGAGGAAGACAGACTGGAGGGCTGAGGGGTCAAATATAGACAAACACTAACATTTTTAGAATTTACCAGTTCCCAACTAGGCCAAGGTTATTCCTTGTTTAATACAGTGAACTATAGCATGCCAAATATGAATTTATCACAAAAACTGCCAGAATGTCTGCCCAAAGGTTGCTTCCAAAAGGCCTTTGAAATTGAACTCTAACGTAAAAAAATACAAAACACAGACAGGGGGCTGTAAGTCTTTGGCTGAAGGATATTGATTCCTCCCATTACAATGAATCCTGAAGTCCAGCTATGTGAATTCTCTAGTTTCTCCTTCTCAAAAAGGGCCGGTATCTGAAAAAAACGGAAACAGTAAACCAAAATGTCTGATGAGAGAACCATACTTACTAGTAAAACCTTCTTCCTTCCTTCCTTCTTCCCTACCTCCCTCCCTTTTTTCCTTCCTTCCTTCCTTCCTTCCTTCCTTCCTTCCTTCCTTCCTTCCTTCCTTCTCTCCCTCCCTCCCTCCTTTCTTTCTTTTTTCTCTTTCTCTCTTTCAGTGCCGAAAATAAAGGAGAGAGGAATTCAGGAAAAGAAAAGAGCACAGGTGTGTGAACTCTGGACTACAAGGTAGGACACTGAGTTCTTTCCACCACCCACATGCACAGACCTCTGGTTGCTATTAAGATCTGTGCTCAGTTTTCCCAACTCTTAGGGCTATGATAATTTATCTAACTTGCAAGAATGGTACAGAACCAAATGGACAGGCACCAGAGGTGGAGGGCAGAGAGGCAGTGTTCTACTTGTCATTGTGTAGAGAAGGCAAACCTGTCCTGAGCTGCTTAAGTACTTCTGACTGAGCCTGAGTTTTCTGTCCGAATGTGGTTAGCAGGTGGGGAAATGAGGGCCTGCAGCTGTGGGCAACATTGCTGATGGAGGCAGAGAAAATAGTACAGAAGCTATTTTATACCAATAATTTCTCTAGAATTGGAACATTCCACTAGTGAATAAGGAAGAAATATCATACCTTTTCTTTTTATTTTA